AATGGACAACAAGATCATCGGCGTGGTTTTTTGTCGTCGTCGTTTCCAACCGGCGTCCGGACCAGCTGAAAAATTGAATTCTCTCTGAAGTCCGAACATAGAAATGAGAGATCCGCGCTGTCTCGGAAAGGAGGACTGAACAAGTGACGTCCCTGCGCAGTCTTACAGTTAGCTCCCCTTTTTTTTTTTTTTTTTCGTCTCCTTTCTGTCCTCTCGCTTCCCACGAACCAGATGGCAGTCAGATTTCAGACACAGGCTTCTGGAAGACAATCAAGCAACAAGATTGCTTTTTTTAGGAAGGGGGATTGGTTTAACTACATGTCCAATGACACGGCTTCTTTCACTCACGCGCGTTCTCAAGTGTGTTTGGGTGTCGCCGGTCAACGTGCGGCGAGAAGAAAAAGCAAAAGCAAAACAAAGCATGACGTCACCACCACCGTGGTCCAAAGTCATTTTTCAAGCCATTTGTATTGAGCGTGTTCTTGTCATCTCGCTAGCTAACCATCCAAGTGGCTAGCTCTCTCTCTCGCTAGGTCTCACGAGCTGCCCATCTTTAGCCGTCTATTTGGCAATTTCGCCGTTTTGCAATCATGCTTTCTATCTCTCCGGTGAGCTAGCTTTGTATCGCTGCCGCCGTCCCTCGCTATCGGTCGCGCCGTCACGATCTATCGCTCCGGCTATCTCGCTCTCGCTCGCTGTCTCTCTCTCCTTCTCGCAATGCGCTCTCTGGAGATCTATCTCCCTATCTGCTGCTCTCTTTCTCTGCCTCTCGCTAGCTTTCCCTTTCTATCACTCGCCATCTCTCGCTCTCTCTTTCTCTCTTTGCCCCCCCCCTCCAATATGGCTTTCTCTCTCTCTCTATCGCAATCTCTCTCTCTCTCTCTTTATCTATCTGTCTTACTAAAACACGAGAGCAATGCAGTCTCTTTCTCTCTCTCATATTCTGTGAGCTAAAAGTAGTCCTGGAAACGCTGTCAGCAGCGCTCGCTCTGACAGTAATGAGACAGTATTGTCCAGCGCGTGGCTTTTGTCAAGGCAAAAGCAAGAGACAAGGCTCTCGGTCCTGTTGACGGCGAGTCAACTTGTTGCGCAAGACCCTGTTGAATTTTGTCTTTTGGTCGGTTGGACCGTCCGGGCTGCAGCACTGCCGCGAGCGGGGTGCCAAAGAGGGCGGGCGGAAGGTCTCCTCTGTGACTCGAAGGGCGAACCGAGAAAACCGATTCCTCGTCTGCATCCTCATCCGGATTGGCATTCAAACGATTCAGAAGGATCGGCGCTCGGCGCGTCTGGCGGGTTGTGTACATGTTGCCGAAGCCTGCTCGCCGGCAAAGCAAGAAATTAGCCCCGCCCGCCCATGTGGCAGAGGTCGCTACTGCGTCCCGTACTTTTCCCCTAAGTGATGAGTCTGCTCTCGAGCTGAAGGAGAAGCCCTCCACCGATCGCGTTTTGAAGACGCTTTCCAAGAGGCTTCAGCCGGGCGCAATCGGGGAATTGATACTCGGTCATCTCGACGCGCCTCGCCTCCCGCCGCCGGCCGGATAACGATGCGGCCATCCGTCTTTTGGCGCCTCACCTCCGTGTCGGCGCGGGCTCGCCAACGGGGGCGCCTGCTCGCCGGAGACAACGGGAACAAAACGCAAACGTGGCTTTCATCTCTCTCGCTGCTGTTCATTTCTGTCTGCCGCCACCCTCCCCATCACGCCCCCATCACCCCCGACTCCCCACACCTCTCCAGCGAGCTCGATTGTTTTTTTTTCCTTTTTTCCCTTTTCCTTTTTGTTTGAGCTCGCCGCAAGAGCTGCAATGCATTGTGTTCCGCAGTTGACTGCTTGCTTTTGCCTTTTCAGCAAGATGTGCGAGAGGGGGCGCACACTTGATGAGTTTTAACATCTGGAACGAACTTGAAAACGTGAGCGTCCCCACACCACAAGGGGGAAAAAAATATATGATCACATGCTCTTACAGCGCGGTACACTCGAGAGACCGAAGCATCACACCGGTCGCGACCATTTTCTCGACGGACGAAAGATGTTATCTGGTAGAAGTACCAGGACTGACCTGTGAGAGGCAGCACCTTCGCCAAAGCGACACAGAAAAGCAGACGAGTCCTCGAATCAAAAGACACGGAAGACTCGTCGCAGGACCGGTTGTTACGATGGCTATTCTGCCCCCAGTAATTGTATTACAGTGCAGTGCAGTGCCCCTAGTGATGGAAGTATTGCATGACAGTTTAGTACAGTGATCCTAGTGGTGGAAGTGGTTAGCACCACCCATAGAGTCAGCGGGGTAGCCATTTTGATGCATAAGAGTGAAACCACGTGCAGAGGTGCGATAACATCCACTTCCATCCTCGTTCTTTTGGCACATTCAGGCACAATCTGTAAGTACATTTACCCAGTTGTATATACCACTCTTGGCTGAGCAAGTTATTCATCGTCATATATAAGTATTTCACCAATTAATCTTTGTAGATATTTACCATAGATTCGTTGGAAATGTTAGAGAATAGGGCTGTTACAAGAGTGTTGAATATCATTTCATATGTATAATTGGACGTTATACAAACATTTGTATTGTGTTTCTATTTGTGTGCAGTTTTACAAGAAAGACTCCATAAAAATACCAAACGTTGGATTCTCATCTCCGTGTTTTTATTGGAGGATTGTTTAGCTCGCTGTCTACGCCGTGCTCTCATCTCAAACGCATGGCTAGGGCAGAAGAATGGCATTCGACTTATCTGGTGCCAAATGTTCTGGGAAGCGCTTTGTTTGCGCGAACTCCGTTGCAAATGCCAATTCTTGTCCTTTTGACGGCGGTCAATGACGAGCAGTTTGCTTCAGGGAGAGGAAAGGTACACCGGCGCGACTCCCAATCTGTGATCGGCACGTCAAATGTATTGAACGCTCGCAATTGGGGAGGAGATTTGGGTCGCGGCGAATCTCTCGCCAGCGGGTTTGATCCAATGGGAATTCCGGTCCAACTTCATCATGAGCGTCCGGTCACTTCCTGATCGGCGCTCGTCTCGCTTTAGGTCACAGTGACGGAGGAGTTGTTCGTACTCAACAGGTTAGCCGGTTCCCATTGCGGCTCCGACGATTGAGGCGAGCAGGCAAAGGCTGAGGGAAAAGCACTCAAACGTGGGCTGGCTGTCACGTTCCTGTTCTCGGCCTGGCCAGCAGGTGGCAGCCTGAGCGGACGTTCTGGTCGCACGCCTGCTGCCAATCTATCGATTTAGGGACTGTGTGTGTATTTCAGGAGCCGTGTTCAGGCTGCCGCTTGTCGCAGTCTCGTTGATGCCTTGCCGCTTCCTTGCTCACAGGCCCTTTTGCTCTCGCCGTTTTCGCTTTGCAACTCTCGTTAGCATTCGTTGTGAACGTATGCCTTTTGTTTTGTCATTCGGGCTTCTTGCTAGCGTGTCGTTGATACATTGTTTTTCGTTTGTCTTCTCGGTACTTATTTGCCTTCTGTGCAAGCGCTTTTTGTTCTTCGTTTTTGTGCTCCCCGGTCCTTGATTTGACCAGCGCTTTATGTTACTACTTTGTCGGTGCCATTTTTGTTCATGAAACATTTTTGCTACGGAGACCTTGTCTGGAGTCTGCACTTTTGGGATCCAAAACTTGATTCGGTTCGACCGCAACGTGACAACGCCAAGTCCCGTCGAGCGCAATCTTCAAATCTTTCCGCCCGAGATCAATGATAGGCGGGGCCCCGCCTCGAGGCCCACGGCTCCAAGAAGCAACCGGCCGCCGGCATGAGACAAGTTGATTTACGGGAGAGTCGACCGGCCGTGTCGCCATCCGTTGGGAACGGCCCGCCTCGCTCCAGAGACGCGGCAACGCTCAAGTCCTCGCCGCCCGGCATCCGTCTTGGTCTCAGCGCCTAATGGTCTTCTCGGCTCATTGAGGCATTTGGGTCTCCATCATCGTGTCGCGCCACCTGCATTTCTCCGCCCATATTGGGGCGGGTGGGCGTTACTGGGGGAAGAAAACCTCGGCCGCCGGGGCGGTCGATGTCAGCGCTCAAGGTGGGGCCAACGTGCCAATAAAGGGGCCGTCACCTGAACGGAACGCCGGAGATTGCCCCGCGCCGTCTTCACAGAGAACTACTGCGCCGCGCGACTGAGCTTCGAAGCCAGGCGGCACGGCTCCGTTTCCCAAAGTTTTTGGGGGTTTTTTCCGAGCGGCTCGGACCGCCATGGAAAAAAGGTAAGACCCAAAACCGAGGCGCAAAGACGTTTTTCCCCCGCCTCGGTGTCGGACGAATCGCTGCGACTGGGGCTCGCTGGCGGGGGCGGCGCGGTCACGGCGGGAAGGAACGGGCCCAGCCGGCAGGTGCGTGCGTCGCGGCGCTCCAAAGGAGCCTCGAGCGAGCGGCGCGGGGCGACGGCGTGTGGAAAGTAGGCCGTCGAGAAGAGACTTCACACAAGTCCTATTTATTGCTCACCCACTTCAAATGTCTCGCGTCACGTTTTTGAAGCGCGCCGAGGTCACCGCGACTATTTTGGGGCTATCGAAAAATAACATCAAAGACGTGCGACAAAAACTATTTCGAGGAGACGCATTTTGGGGTGACAAATTGAAAGAGCTTCCAGGTTTTGACAAAAGCTCGCCCGCCTTCTTGGACAAAAGGAAGCAGGAGTGAAGAACAGGGAGGCGCCGACCATAGATAGTCCGCTTTCAGTCACTCCGTTTTGGGTGTTTTGGGCGGGCGCTTGGAGCCCTTTTCTTTCCCCACCCGGCCACTTTTGGCCAGGAGTCGGCAACTGGCTTCTTTTTTGGGGTTTGTTTGCTTGGGAGATTCAATGGCCGCGCCGCAGCCAACGTGCGCCGAACTTTACGGTGGCGCAAAAGTCCGGAGCGACTCGCCCAACCAAAAGAGGGAGACAACGGGAAGGCGATTTGATTTCACACTCGAGGGCCGGCGGGAAGGAAGCGAGGGCCGAGGTCGGCTTTTGCCTTGCTCAACGCGCGGCCGTTCGCTTTGCTCGCCGTGTCTTGCAGGTACGGCGACATGGTGCCCAAGACCATCGTGGGGAAGGTGTTCGGCTCCATCTGCTCGCTGAGCGGGGTGCTGGTCATCGCCTTGCCCGTGCCCGTCATCGTGTCCAACTTCAGCCGCATCTACCACCAGAGCCAGAGGGCGGAGAAGCGACGAGCCCAGAGGGTACGGGAATCGCCCTCCGCTCTCCTCCCCTCCGCAGAGACGCCACCGACGCTCCCTTGCGGATCGCGCTTCCGGTATCGCGCGTCGGCCGAGAGATGATGTTTGAGCGGGAGACGGCAATGGGGTCACGTCGGCGGCTTCCCAAGGGCCACACGGGGGCATTTGGCAAAGGCGGAATTGGCCCATCGCCGGTCTCAAAGCGTAGCCGATCCCGGCCGGGTCGCGGGCGGGGGCGGCCGCTGGGGGAGACGGATCCAAGCGGTCGGGGAGCGGAGGCTAAAAGCGTGGTGTGTTTGTTCAAACAGAAAACTCGGCTCGTTATATGCGGTCCAAACAAAACGGGCTCCCGATCGACTCACTGGAGGAGGTAACGGGGGGGGTTGGGGTTGGGGGGGGGGCCTGGCTGACGCTTGCATGCCGCTCTGCTCGTCAAGCTCGGGTCCGGGCCCGGGGGTGGGATTTCATGCCACCGCTCTCGCATCCCAGCGCTTGTGTGATGGTCTCTCACCTCTCGCCTCTCGGCATCGACATGCTTGGTCAACACTCTCTCTCGCTCTCGCTCTCGTTCTGTGTCCACGCAGCAGGCGGGCCGGGCAGGCGCACTCGTCGCAGCCATTCCAGTCAGACTCATGAGCCGGCTCTGCATGTCTGTCCAACAGCGTTTGGAGGCGAAGGAGGGAAAGGGCAAGGGGGGAAAGCGAAGGGGAAGGGGAAGGGGAAGGGGAAGGGGAGCAGGAGAAGAAAAAGGCCCTCCCCGGGTAGCGGGTGGCCTCTGGAGGCCGTCTGCTCAGCCTCGCATCTCCTCTAAACTCTGTTTTTGATCTGCTGTGTGTTCTTTCGACGACGTTCCCCGGCTGTAAGCGCAGACTAACTAACGCCTTCCATCATGCCAGAGCCGCGCAGATCTTCATCCAATGTGTGTGCGTGCGGGCGCCGCCGTGGTGGTCGTGTCGCCGGTTTTCCGGTGGTGTGCCGTCTTTGGTGTGTTTCCATCTGTGTCTCGGGCGCGCCGCCGCTGCCGTTGCACGCAATCGCCCCTTTGGACTTTCCCACGGTCCTTCTCGAGGCAAACGGAAGAAAACAAAAGAGAAAGGAAAAACCTTTGGCTTTGCTCACGCATCTCCGCGACACCCCGGCACTCGCCGAGTGGCAGTCGCTCGGCCGCCGCGCCACAGATCGGCATTTGCGTCCTCTCGGCGACGTAGGCCCGAGCCGGTTGTCGCCCGACGCCCTTTGCACGGAACCGTCGAGCGGCGACCGTCCCGAGCCGCTCATTGACACGCGCCCTGTCTTTGTGCCTTTCCAAGGCCTCCAAGGAGGCCGGACAGGCCCTGGTGGGGAAGTCTGCCAGCCCCCCCTTCGAGAGCCAGCACCACCACCTGCTGCACTGCCTGGAGAAGACCACGGTAAGGTCCCGCGTCGTCCTTCTCACCGGGCCTCGGCGACTTCTGTCTTCTTTTCGGTGAAATTCCAGAAACGCGCTGCCGTCCGGGTCTTGGGTTCGGGATCCAAGCCGCAAATGAGCAAAAGTATAGCGAGAGACGTTGTACGATTCACTCCGAGTGAGTCACATTGAAGATTTGGGGGGTGTCAGCCAAAATCGGAATTGAAGTGAGCCTGCGAGCCGTCCACTTCCGTAGGCCGTCGCGTTCGCCATTTGAAATGCTTCTTGCGGGTCTCGTGCTGTCACTGGAGCTTTGGGTTTTGGCCCTGGATGCGGGATTTCAATAGTTTTGTGCTCCCTTTGAGACATTTTCCAACGTATGTGACGATTGTGTTTTCAGAAAGGTCCCAGATGAATTCACCTCATCGGTCGCCTTGTATTTGTTGAAAAAAAAGCCATGTCCGTTGCTTCCCTCTTTGTCAAAAAGCAGGTCGTCCGTGCAAAGCCGCATCACG